CCTTTTTAAACTTCATGTTTGCAAAAACGTAGAATAAAAATGTAATAATTGGGTGTTGAAATTATCACACTGTAATATTGGTCATTAATGTAACCAATATTGGTTACTATTGTAATCAATTTCGATGGCCGCTCCAAGAACGCGTATGTTATGTGTTATGTAACTATGTTTTTATTATATTCCTATTGTGCCGAACAAAGGTGATGAAAATTATAGTGACACTTGAATCAAAATACTTTTAATGTTATAATCATATTTATTTAGAAAAAGTAAAAAAAAATTAATCAGAAATATATGACTGATCCAGTTTTTGTGTGGCTGCTCCACCAGCATGATTGTTAGTTGTGCAGCTGACCAACTGACAAGCAAACTGCAGCGCTAGTGTCTATGTGTCAAAATTTTCAATCCCTCTGGATTAAAAGGTTGGCGACATTATTGTGACCTGAAAAATAATACAGATCAATGAAAAAGATTAAAGCGGTATTTAATTCAGTCAGCAGTACCATGCCTAACAGCTAACTGACGAGGTGTTAGATTTTCAAGATTTCTAATATCAACTTTGGCTCCTTTTTTGATGAGAAGTTCAGCAACATTCTTTCGACCTTAGAAATGATTTGGATCGATGAAAAAGATCAAATCGATTCTTTATTTTGTGAAAATACTTATTCAGCATTACCATATCTAGCAGCATGATGAAGAGGTGTATTATTAAAATTATTCATGATATCCATATTGGCGCCTTTGTTGATGAGAAGTTCAGCAACATTTTCGTGACCTTAGAAATAATTTAGATCAATGAAAAAGATCAAATCGATTCTTTATTTTGTGAAAATTCTTATTCAGCATTACCATTTCTAACAGCATGATGAAGAGGTGTTTGATTAACATGATTCATAATATCCATATTGGCGCCTCTGTTGAGGAGAACCTCGGCGACATTTTTGTGACCTGGAAAAAAAATCGGATCGATGAAAAAGATCAAACCAATTTTTTTATTCAGCGAAAATAAATACTCAACATTACCTTTGGAAGCAGCTAAATGAAGAGCTGTAGAATTCGAATTATCTCCAATATCAGCATTAGCTCCATTCTTGAGAAGCACATCAGCGACACCTCCGTGACCTAAAATAATGCGGATCAATGAAAGAGATCGACGGGATATCTGATTTAGTCAACCTTACCATTCTTAGCTGCCAAATGAAGAGGTGTATTATTGAAATTATTCATGATATCCATACTGGCGCCTCTGTTGAGGAGAACCTTGGCGACATTTTTGTGACCTGAAAAATAATTCAGATCGATGGAAAAGATCAAATCAATCTTTTATTTAATGAAAACAAGTATTCAAAATTACCATAGTCAGCAGCTAAATGAAGAGCTGTGGTATTCAAATTATTTCCAATATTAGCGTTAGCTCCATTCTTGAGAAGCACATCAGCGACACCTCCGTGACCTAAAATAATACGGATCAATGAAAAAATTAAACCAATTTCCCATTTAGTGAAAAAAAAGTCAAGGCTGCACTGACGAAGTGTAGTAGACACAGAGGTCTCATTTGCTCTCAAAATATATTTCGTAATATCGCGGAGCTACTGCGAGTAGCACGTATCTTTTGCTGTTTGCAAATAGTGGCTACGCTGATGCGACGAACGAATGGGAAGAGATAAACCGAGAAAACGAAACACACGAACGAAGCTGCGCGCGATTGTGTGTTACACTCTTTCGTTCAAACCATATTGACACATGCACACAGCCATCGTTCGACTCCGTTCGCGTGTACGATATACGCGGCTGTATGTATGCGTCAATATGGTTCGTGTGTTTCGTTTTCTCAGTTTATCTCTTCCCATTCGTTCGTCGCTTCAGCGTAGCCGCTACTTGCAAACAGCAAAAGATACGTGCTACTCGCAGTAGCTCCGCGATATTACGAAATATATTTTGAGAGCAAATGAGACCTCTGAGTAGACATCACACACAACTCTGACACCCGTGTATATATGCTAGTCGGTTTTGTGTGTGAGTTGGTTGCGATGGCTGTATATGCGACGTTTGTTTGCACGATAGTTGTGTGCGCGGCAGTTGCATCGCGATATGCTTGTCTATTGGCCAAAGCATATCAATGCTTGCTGCTAAGCAATACTAATGCGCATAGTACTCGAAAAGAGTATTCAAAATTACCATGGGAAGCAGCACAATGAAGAGGTGTCTCTTTCGTTCTAGTTTCACTATCAAGATTGGCTCCTTTGCGGATGAGAAGTTCGGCGACACTCTTATGACCTGAACAATAACACCGATCGATGGGATAAAATCAGGTCAATCTTTTATTCAATAACAATAAGTATTCAACGTTACCTTTCTTAGCAGCATAATGCAGAGCTGTCTCATTAAAATTATTTCCAATATTAGGGTCGGCTCCTTCAGTGATGAGGTCTTCAGCTTCCTTCACTTTGCCTGAAAGAATATGAAAAATATTCATAGATCAATGAAACGGATTGAACAAAACCTTCTTTTTTATTAAAGAAAATGTCGAAAATTACCAGCAAAAGCAGCTCTATGCAGAGCTGTCTCTCCAAACATGTCTTTTTCGTTTACTAAAATATGTATGAAAAGTTTATCATAAATGAGGTTTCTATTTCTTCGTTACAAGGTGCTTTGTATATGGAATTTAAGAGTAAAACTGGATAAATAAATGAAACTTCAATCTTACCGTTCCTCCCGGGTGGTGCTCCACTCACATCCCCGATTAAGAACTGTGGAAATAGAATCAAAATGATACATTTGGAATGGGAACAACGGATGCGATTAATACATTATGTATTAATAACAGTTTTCAACTGTTTTTAATAGAATAAAAGTTTCCGGTGGACATTTTTTTTGGAATAGAAGAATTTTTTCAATTTAAGAACTTGAAAAAAGGACACTTTTCATTTTTTAAATTATTTCCAAAAAAAATTATCACAAATTGTCCACGAAAAGTATCAAACATGAAAAATTTAAAAAAAATCGACTGAAATTGTCGACTCACCTCGGATACCATCAAGCCAATGAGCAGCAGTGTGAAAGAACTTCGACTCAGCATTTTTCTAGCTTCGAACTATTGAAAGTTTACTATGAACGTATCAATTGGTAAGAACTGTTTGATGGGCATGCGAATCGAACGCATCCTCTTATATACTTTTCAAGTGTGGCCACGTCGGTGGGCAACACACTGTATGATTCAATCCACGTACAATGACGATTCCAATTAAAGCCCACAAAATATTATCGCACACATTTTTCAAGATAACAATGTCAAACAATTGATAGAATTACAATTCCACCTGTGCACGTGTGTTTAATTTCGCGTTTCACACAAATATTTTGCATTGAAAATGTCAGATGTTTACATTTATTCTTTCATCACCTTCTATAAACTACAAATTCAATGCAATAATTTAAAAAGTAAATATTTTTCACTCTTGAAGGGTTGAGTGGTGTTCAAATTAAAAAAATTTTACATCTTCGCTGCATGCACAAAACACATTCCGTTTCAAAGTCGATCCAACATGACTCATACCTTTGCGTTACATTCAGGCTCACATGCCATGGTGGCGTTGCTTTGTTCAATAGCTACAGTGTTAGTTGATGCAAGGATATACGGTATCACATTTACTTTACATCACTCAATAAGGTATAGTTAGGATACGATGATATTGATACAAATCTACGCATTCCCTTAAAAAATTCAATCCGATACAAATCACATAAAAAAGAAAAAAGTTCTGTCACTGTCGCATTTGGTACCAACACACCCAACTTTTTGTTTCCATGAAATAAATTCTTCGTAGTGGTAAAAAATCTATGGCACAGATTCAAGCATCGGTTCGGATATATTTCTATGCAAGATAAATATGCTGAGCATGGATGCGTACGGACGACCGTGCGACGAACGTATCACCAAAGCCATCGTTGTTTGTTTTGTATTCATACACACACTAACGCGTGAAAAATGTATTTATTTTACTAAGTTTATCAAGCACTTTTCAAGAAGTTTTCACCTAGCATTGAATTTTCGTTTAAGCTTTACTATCTAAATACGGTCAAACTAGTTATAATGCCATCGTTAGATGGCGTTTGTTCTGGTCAAAAGCATAAAGGTCCTCCGTGGTGAGCGTTTTTCATATTATCGCTAAAATTTTATTTTATCTCATTAAATCAAGAATTGTTAAATCAAAATTGATTTTTTATTAAAATTTTATTTTATCTCATTAAATCAAGAATTGTTAAATCAAAATTGATTTCGAAATGAAAGTCAATTCGGTCTTTGTTCTAATCGATAATTTATTTGAAATAAATGCAAACATGGCGACTCTTCTTCAGGGCCTAAAAATAACAAATGTTTTGGGTTCAAGGAAACTATGACGATGCAAGCGTAATAATGGGCTGTAGTATTCAACATTGGTGGTGACAGTGGGTAAATGGACAACTGCAGTTATTTTTTTGACAGAATATTAAACGATAATCGAGTATGGGCATTGGGCATAGAAAAAAATCATCCGATTATTCAGCTAAATTAGTTCAGCTATTCGCCACCTGAAAAATAGACATCGCGCGATAAGAGATATCGACTTGATGTCTATGGTGAAGTTATAGTACTCAAGAAGACACCAAGTCCTTATCTCTTATCAGTTACGCGAAAAAACGCGAAAAACGCGAGTTTTCGCTTATCATTTTTCGCGAAACTGATAAAAGATAACGACTTGGTGTCTGTGGCAAAGTTGTAGTACTCGACCTGCTTTACATTTCTGTCGAAGAGGCAAGCCTCTTACTTCTTATCGGCTTCACTAAAACGAGATGGGAAAATTTCGCGATTTTCGCGTATTTTCGCGTTTTTCGAGGAACTGATAAGAGATAAGCAACATTTGTTGCAACAAAATTATAGCAAACCTGCCAACCGTAAATGTAACGAGTTAATAAAAGAACATGTTATAAAAGTAGACTACTACAGTTGTTTATGTTTTTATTTTTTTTTCTCTGTTTTTATTCATTCAAGACCCACATACAAATGTCCATTTGGCATCCCGTATACAAAAGTAAATTCAATTGATTAAAAAACAAGTGAATTCGTAAATGTATTCAAAATGTGGTGAAGTGCGAGCATATGTCAACAATGTTTCTTTACATTTCAATTATAACATAAGAAAAAGAAAGTCGTTGTCAGTTGCAATGGATTCATAGTGTGTAATAACTTTTGGTTTTAGGAGAGTACGCGGTAATCTGGGACACTTTTTCGTTGTCAAATTTCACGCCACACATCAATTTTTTTCACTTAACAAGAATAATTAAAATCACTACGGCGAAATTATTACGCGAAAGCACTCGACTTTAGCTACAAATTATACTTACCATCCAATCACGTGTGCTCAAAAACGTGTGAAGTGGCAAAAACGCAAAGCGTGCTCTAGCGCAGCGTGTATCAGACTGAGAGACTGTGCACGTCAAATGATCGCCACACTAATGCACATGTATGTATATAATCGTTTTTACGTTTGGTAATCCCGTGTCCAATTTTACCCCGTCCTCCCCTCTACATTATAATGATTTATTCTTACTTATTTAAGCGAACAAGTGAAAAAAAAATGAAGATTTCATTTGGGAGATAATGATACAATTAGAAATAAAATCTGTCTCAATTTCTTTTTTGTTTAAATTCAAAATCAATTGTACGGGGTGGCCAATTTAATTCGGTTGATGCCTGAAAAGGGAAAAAAGAAAAATAAACAAATGTCAATTTGGTTGCACATCAATCTGTGTGTGTTTTTTGGTTTTTTCAAAGGAAAATATTTTGTTTTTGGTCTTAATTGGATGAATTTTAATGTTGTTTTTTCTTTGCCTTTCAAACGATCAACTTTGCATTCTCGAAAAAAAGATTAATCAGAAACAGTGACCCCAGAATAAATGAATATTTAGAATAATTTTTTTTTAAATCTTATGCATATCGTGATGTCCGAGGGAGTCAATTTTTTCAGATAGCAAAACACATTCATTGAAACCCACTTGATTTACCAAATAAGTGACGATCTCCTTGGTGTATGGAGATTTAAATAGTTTGCCACTTTGAAGTCAATTCACTTCAAAAGACTTACAACAGACACCGGTTGTGTTCTTTTCTGTCATTAAATTAAATATTTAAATTCGTTTTCCTTCTAATCCATGTACAATTTTGTTTTTAGGGAATTTTATTCAAAAATTTCGGTTTGAAAATTGCATTTCATTTCGAGGTGTATGGTTTTCCTTTCAAAATGAGAAATGTTCTAAATTTCTTTGAAAAATTATCACGGAGGATGGTAGTCCGACAAGTGACGCCATTTCAAGCCAAATATCAAAAAATGCCAGTTTTTGCGTCACGAGTATATATACAGTAAATATGCTATTTTTCCAGGACACTATTTGGGCCCCGGCATGTTAGGTACCGTTGGAAAGGTCTTGGCCCAAATAGTCGGAAACACCATATCTCCCATGCCTAAAGTGTGGTCTAGGCAAAAATATAGCGGTTGGAAAATTTCGATGAATTTTCAAATCTATACCCATATCTTACGAAGGGGGTACCCATAATTTTGATTTTAGATCAAGTTTTCAAGCGTTTTGTCGTCTAAAAGTCGTGACGCGATATTTTTCCTTATTGTGAATAAATTTTCACAATAGTGAATGCGAAAAATACATCTTTGTATCCAGAGATAAACCAGCGTCCTAGCGACTGATATCATTTTGAGTGGTAAATCCACGCACAGGAGCGTCACTCCATTTTAACCTCGTCTAGAGGTTTTTCATCTGATTTGATTTTTAAAAAAAATGTTTAGTTACTTTGAATTTATTCTGTGGCTTGCAATCATTCAATCAATCCACCCAAGAATGTGTCTGTAAATTGTGATTTTATGCCTTAAAAAACCTCGTCTGTTGACAATGTGTGACCTAATCTGATATTATTGCACTTTAGCGTTTCCATTACAGTTAGTATAAAATCAGCGGGTACATGTTTGTAATTGCATTTATCATCTTGGTCTAGAATTAGAAAACCACTAAATTGAATTTAAATTTCAAACAATTTAAAAGAACAATGCAATAAAAATACAATTTCTGTTTTCTGTTCGTACTAATTGTAATTTTTTTATTAAATTTTTTCTTTGTTTGTTTTTCCTGTCCAAAAATATATTTATGTGTGTGTGTGGTTTGTTAGCTATAAAATGCCTTCAAAATGCTCGTAAAATATGGATAAAAATTGATTTTTGTATTAATCGTTCAATTATGTTCTCGTCTCGTATGTTGTTCACTACTAATCCTATTGTATTAGTGGGTTATCGTTCATAGTTGATAATCGCAGTTGATTGTTATATATGTATATATATATTATTTCAATTTCTAAAAGATGTCCACCTACTTATTAACTCACTCTTTCTGTTTCGGGGTTCATTTTCTCTTCATGCAATTACTATACAATATATAAATCTAAAGGGAAAAAAAACTTTTTAAACTGGATTCATTTTCATATCATCCAAAACAGAAAAAAAAATTAGAGTGAAGAAAAATAAAATAAAATGGTCAATGTTTAAATTATACATATTCAAACTGTTGTCAAACAGTTATAATCTCATCCGAATCAAAAATAAAAAAATATAATGAGTCGTATTTACTTGCTTGCACTGGGGCAAGTTCCTATTCAATTTTGTTCTTTTTCTTCTTTGTTTGTAGTTTTTGTTTCGCTTCTATTCAAATTTCCATACTAAAATTCATCGAAACCAAGACATTTATAACAGGAAAACCAGTACCAGTAGTAAAAAGTTAGAAGAAAAAATATCTCTAAATAAATGTCTAAAATGTGTATGTAAAAAACACGAGGCTCCTAACGTACTCTATTGTAATTGTTCTGTAGTGGCCCGTGATTTCACTAGGAACAGCCTCTTAATACAAAATATAATTTATTCGATCAATTTAGTGTTGATCAATTGCTATACAAGTTCTATGTGGATTCTGTGCAGGGCGAATGCTTCTCGAATCTGGTTAGTTTAATGTGATTTTATTTCTTCTCCGCTTCGTTTTATTTTTCGTTAAAAGATTGAGGAGGGGCCGGGATAGGGCGCTATATATGGTACTTATTTCGTTTTATTTCATTTTATGGTGGACAATTTCGAAAATGCTACAGCTCCTGTTTGTTCACATATTCTCAAAAGGTTTCTCACATAAAAATAAGTTCATTTTTATTAAAGACTTTTTTTTCCCCGTTTGATTTGTTTTTGTTTTGTTTTGTTCAAAGGTTAATTGCTTATCAGTCTGTGGCATTTACCTGGTTTCATACATATTATATATATAAATCATTTCAAGCCATGTAGCCTTAGTTAATATCTCATCTTTCATTTTCATCTTAAAATTTAGTCAATCAATTCGGATCATCTTTTCTGGCTCTCAATCGATTGTTTTTTGGGGGAAGGGGAATTATTTTTCAAATTTTCGAATGTTTCTTGCATGACAACGATGATAAATAAAAATACACATCTATCTATCCGATTAGGGGAGGAAAGTTACGCGGAATAAACCAAAGGAGTTTCTTGGCCCATTAAAAGAGTGGATAAAATGATTTAGTTCTCATTTTCACGTAAATTCCTAGTCCATAAGAGAAGACAATTGTATCTATTCTTTGTATTTTCAAATGGAATAATTCTTCAAAATTAAAATTGAGAAGTCGCGAAGAAACGGAAAAGAAAATTGGCGGAGATTACAAAGAACACGTTTTGAATTGCAATTTGGAGAAGAAGAAAAAAAGTAATTAAAAGAAAATTATTCGAATTGGTTTTGTTTTTGTTTAAAATGGGGAAAGGGGAAAAATGATTTTCGTTTGACCGAACTTCGAGTATACATATGCACAACAAATAACGCAAACAACAACACCAGAAAAAATCATGAGACACCTGCGTTTTTTTGGTGCTGCTTCAGCAGCAGCCTCCGTTTCTTTCTGTTTTCTCTTGATATCCTTAATTTTCGCCTCGATGTCTGCATTGCGTTCCTTTCGTTTTCGTCGTCGGAGTTCAGCAGTCGACGCCAATCCACTGTAAACGAAAATAATATAAACAAAACCATTGAGTCCTGAAACGAACTTTTTGTGTGTTGGCAATAAATTGAGATATAGAACCTGTCGTTCTCCGGTGATGACGGTGTTTCCAGTGATGAATTCGAATTGTTGAATTCGGTGAGGCTTGTGGTTGACAGTTTTGTTGGTGACGGTGGTAACGTTGCATCCGGATTGAAACTGTCTTCACACTCATTGCTTCCATTACTACTAGTTCCGTTGAGCAATTTTGTGGTTTGCTCCGTAGTGGCTTGTTCGTCATCATCCACACCATCGTCGTCGTCGTCATCGTCGTTGTCGTCATCATCAAATCAACATCTTGTTCGTCGCTCATGTCCTCATCTGAATCATCCTCGATGTCCTCACCCTAGTGGCGAAGCGTTACGAGTACGCGTAGTACTACGTTCACTAATTCCCTAAACGTAGTGGTTCGTAGTGGTACGCGTAGTCGTAACGCTTCGCCACTATGGTCCTCACTATCGCTATCATCTGGCGACTCATCGGGCAATGGTGGCAACGGGCGTTCAGATCGCGTTCCATCACCATTCTCCGAGTTATTATTAACCGATACATGGTCGTTATCATTTGTTGGTACAGTTGGCAGTGGTTTCTATTGAACGTAAGAAGGTATTTATTAGTCCATATGCGAATGTGAGTAGAATTCGATTGGTTCATTACATGTTGTGACTGTAATATTGATGTACACCGTGGCGGTGGTCTAGGCGGATCCGTTTCAGTACTATAGTCTTCGTTGTCAATTTTTGCAACTTCGTCATAGTCGCCGACGGTCTGTTGAAAATGAATACAATTAGGTTTTGCTTAACGCAAGACGCGTTCAAAAAGACCAGAAAAACATAACGAGAAACACTCACTGGATCGTTGAAATGCTTGATTCCCTCAATGATTGCTTGATATGAAAAATACAATTGGTCCGCTGTTTGTATTAAGCCCATTCGCGATTGTCGTAGTTTAAGCAACAAATCAGGAACACTTATCTTGTTTTCCCCCTCTTTTTCCACCAACACTAAGCAACTATCGACTAAACAAAACGTTCCGGATCGTCCGATGCCGGCGCTACAGTGTACGACCGCTGGTCCAACGTCGGAATTCAATGCGCCTGAGTCTCGTACCTTTTTCAAAAATTGCAAAAAGGCCACCGGAGAACTAGGAACATAGAAATCCGGCCAGGTGGTATAGTGGAACTGGATTACTTCGCGTGATTTCGATGATTCCGTGTCGGTCAGACGAAATGTTCGCTTCGAAAAGTTTGTATAGTTTTCGCATTTTAAATATTCTACCGTTAGGCCAAGATCGTTCAATGTCATTGTGTGCTCCGGTCCGATTCGGTCTGGCCAATACTGATGGCATTTCACTTGTCGCTTTGTAGTTGTTTTTTTTTCTTGCTTATTTAGTAGTTCACTGAATAGCACGCACACACGCACACACATAGAGAGAGAAAATGGTTCATTCGATTTGTTTTACCCGAAAGAGAAAATGTTAAAATCCAAATGAAATTTTATTTTTGAGCGAACCTTTCTTCTTTTTGCTGGGTCCTTTTGTGTTGACCAACGTTGTAATTTGCAACACAAGTGGCTCAAGTGTTTTCTCCACCGACATCGTACGAATTTCCAAATTTTTCGGATCCCATTTTAGCGAAAGCGTACCAAAATCACCAATCGTACCCATGTTTGTCTCTATTTGTCTGAACTCTCTGTTGTTTTAATATTGTTGTTTTTTTTTCGCTGGACAATTTTTTTTCTTTCTTTTCAAACCCAAAATTGAAAGCAAAATAAAAACCAAAATAGGAATTTGGGGTTTTTCACTTTAAATTTGCAGTTCGTACACACAGTAAATTTGTAACGCAACAATAAACACACAAAATTGTTTGGCGATGACTAACGCGAACGCCGTTTGACATGTAAAAAGCAGAGAGAAAAGTACACACAATGGAGCAAAATTGGGTAATTTTTTTCACATTGAAACTAAAATTGAATCGACTGGGTTAAATAAATAAATGTTTTAATGCAGCAAAAGAAAGGAAAAGAATGTGTTTTGCTGTTGGCTGGGCGTAACAACTCACTGAGCACTTTGAATCTATTGGTGTTTTGTGTTTCGTTTTTTCTAGCAGTGGTGCCGCTGGAAATTTCTGCTTTGGAACAGTCGTATATCTCACGGTGGTGGCTCACAACACAGACAACCTGTCATGAATACTTCAATCGTCGTGAAAGTGATCGAATTCCATTTGTGTGCGCAAACATACACACAGAGACAGAGAGATGGTAGAAAGAGTGAACAAGTATTGCCTGATGTGTTGATTGCTCGTCTTTGTGTTTATTTCGCTACCAACTTCAGATCTCTATGAAATATTCTATTGTTTTGACGCATTCATTCAGATTCTTAATTATTTCATTTGATTCATTCAAAAATCGAATATTCTATCACAATCTCATTTTAAATTGTGAAATTTCAACTGAATCATCGAGAAATAGAGTAAGTTTGCCAAAAGGAATCAAGTATTATATTGTAAAATATTTCTTTTGTTATTTTTCAGACTGAGATGAGCGATAACAGTGGTATATCGCCTGCTCTTACTGCAGCAATCATACGTAGAAAGGAAATAGAAAAGAGGATACAAGAAAAATCCAAAGAGGAGTTGATTGATCCAAATGCGATAAACCCATATGAGGAAAAGACTAAGGATTGGTACAAATTCGAGGAGAAACGTGAGTGGAGCAGATACACACAGTTGAAAAAAGTGGCAAAGGAGAGAATTGCTGAAGCACGTCAACGATTGGGAAATCAACCAGATGCGAACACAAAATACAAATCGAATGTGTACCCACCACCAGAAATGGAAATGAATTATCAATTATTCAAATATCTGAGAAGCCAAGAAAATAGTAAGTACACAAATTTTCGCCTGCTCAGTTTTTCCAATTCTGGTAATTTCGAATGTTTTTGTTTTTCATTTAGACAACAACGGTGACACAGAGCGAAATGGGGATGACAATTAGACGTAAACACGAATGCTGATTATGAATCAGTTTGAAGTGAAAACTCAACTCGAGGAACGATACTATGATAATTCTTGATTTTATTTAATATGATTTGATTTGAATTAAATTGAAACACCGATTTTCTTGTTTATGGCTTCTTAAGTTGATTAACACAGCTTTGTTTTGAGTTTAAATGACACATGCTTTGACGTTTGTTGATGAAATCTATGAAGTAAAGAAAAAGATGAATAAATAAAGAGAAAAATGAGAGTGAAAATACCTTTTGTTTACATACATTATACAACAATTTGAGGAAGTGTGGTTGCCAATTGGGTCAAGTTATTGAATAGATCCAGGTTTTCCTTAATCCGTGCAGAAAAAATGAGCCACATATTTTGATCAGCTGCAAGATTCAGGTTGTCACGTTCATCCTCATCCTCGTCAATTTGAAGTTGTAATAGGCCTAGACAGACTTCGACCATATCAAGAAGAAATGCAGTAGTTGGTGAATTGAAACAGCCGCGGCATTCTTTTTCATACAACACATTTGTCTGTTGACCTAAAATTAGGCACTCGATATGAAAAAAAACCTTCACATGATCGACTCGGACAATCAATTGGAAACCCCGTACGTGTACCTTGGCACGGACAAGTAAAAAACATTTTCTTCTTGAATTGAATAATAATTTTTATTGTAAAAATATTAAAGAAAACAACTTTTTAAGAAGAATGAAACAAAACCGTGGAATCGTATTGTTTTGACAGGTGACATTCAAATTCTGTATTTTAAAACCTTACAAAAGCAACACTGGCCAATGAAATGGCGAGATATTAACGCGCCAATTTGAATTTTGAGAGACACATAGAGAGAGAAAATGGTTCATTCGATTTGTTTAACCCAAAGAAGAAAATGTTCTAACGTTGATAGCGAAATGGAGGTGACAATTGGACGTAAACATCAACACAAATGCTGTTTATGAGTCTGTTTGAAGTGAAAACTCTACTCAAGGAACGATGCTATGGTAATTCGTCATTTTATTTAATATGATTTGATTTGAACTAAATTGAAATAACGATTTTCGTGATGATGGCTTTTTATCTGGATTAACACAGCTTTGGTTTGAGTTTAAATGACACATTCTTTGACGTTTTTTGATGAAATCTATGAGGCAATGAAAAAGATGAATTAATAAAAAGAAAAATGAGAGTGAAAATACCTTTTGTTTATATACAACAATTACATACAACAATTTAAAGCAGTTTGCTTGCCATTCAGGAGAAGTTATCGAGCAGATACCTGTTGTCCGCAATTCGTGCAGATAAAACGCGCCACATGTTTTTATAATCTGGAACATCCCAATGAACATTTTTCAAAATTTCGATGCATAGCGCCAGGCATAATGTTACGCATACACCATGCATAGATTATAATGTCTTTAGTATAGTGTATCACCATTACAACTTGCATGGTGATGGTGACATCACATACTTAAAACCTTGCAATTTATGCATACCACACGCATTGTGTGTGCATATTGTATCCATACTCTATTGTATTATGCATAGTATATGTCAATTTCAATCTTACTGAAGACATCCTTTTGAGTGGACAAATTCAAAGGTGCAAAATCGTTGTAACAGTCTTAAAAAATTAAATTTTGTAGAACTAATTAGGCAGAAAGCCGAATTGATGTGTTTTGGTTCTATGAGTCATTATTTGATAAGAAAAAAGAATGTGAAGATGAAATATTTTGCTATTCTTCTATATTTTTTGCAATTTTTTACAGCAGTAGTAGTAGTTTTTTACACAGTTGAAGAAAGAAGACAATTACACTGATTTATTTATTCTATATTAAGCCAAATCGTTGGTATCCGCAATCAAGTGGATAGAAAGGTCGTTTTGGAGCACTCACGAAGGTAGGGACGCACTTGATATCGGTGGCATCTGTGCCGCTATGTTTGCGCGGAATGTGTTTTTCGAAGTTGAATTCTGTTGAATACAACAATGTGCACGCCGTACATTGAAATTTCAGCACAAATTGATTGTGAAGCAGTAGATGTCGACGCAAGTTGGCCTTTCTGTTGGATTTGAAGATTAAGTTGCAAATCGGACATGTCAAATTTCCTTCTTGAGACGTGCGAGGGATTCGTTTTGATTTGGTTAGATGTTTTTTTCTCCGAACTCGTAACAATGATCCAGGTTTTGTCATCAAAAAAAACGTTTGTCGATTCTTCTTCTTTTTTCCACTGGCATTTTTCTTCCGCTTTTGGTTGCGCTTTGGAGCAAGGAGGCCCTAAATCAAATCATAGCAATTAAAATACGAGTGAAACATACACTTTAACAAAATAGGATAAGTCGAAAAAAACACCGCTATCAATTTTACGCCAGTGATTCTTTATTATTACCAGAAATAATCTGATGCTCATCGTGGTTACGTTTCCGCTTCAGCTGGTTCACTATTGTGGTGATAGTTCACACAAATGATGTAAAATTTCTCGAATTATCAAAATCGTACAAAAACTGTGATATTTTCGTTTGAATTTCCCAAATAAACTCAGTTTTAGCAATAGCAAGTGTCAATAAATGTGAATATAACTTGTTTACGTTCAAATTCTCCACTAATGTACACACACGCACGACAAACTGGGGAATATATACAACGCTGATTTGCAACATACTAGAATAAACTTTTTGATATTTCTCCACTATTGAGTCACTAGCAAGCTTGCGCATGTGTTAGTAAGTTTGACAATCGCCCTGAATTAGAGTGAACGCATACATGTTTACTCCAATATATAGTGTGCAATGTTTATTCCGTACAGGAACAAATATTCTCCAGTTTGTCGTGCTTGTGTGTAGGCTTTGTGTAAAATGCGATGTTTTTGAGCGCGATGACAGATTGTAACTTGACAGCTGTGTTTGCGTCTGTTTTCTGTACACGGTTTTTGCTAACTTAGCACACAATTTCATACCATTAAACCAAAGTTTGAGAAGCAAAATGTTCTGGAGTAAGTAAATAATATATATTTATATGAACATGCAGGAACCACGTGCCTGTTCAAATTTAAAAAATTTCACATCTTCGCTGCATGCACAAAACACAATCCGTTTCAAAGTCGATCCAAAGTTGACCACAGATCAACCGTCGCTTACATGATGTAAATTAGAATCTGAATGATCAAACGACATGACTCATACCTTTGCGTTACATTCAGGCTCACATGCCATGGTTGCGTTGCGTTGTTCAATAGCTACAGTGTTAGTTGATGCAAGGATATACGGTATCACGTTTACTTTACATCACTCAATGAGGTATAGTTAGGATACGATGATATTGATACAAATCTACGCATTCCCTTAAAAAATTACAAGCGAATCTCATGCAAAATCATATCCATACTCAGTAACACTTTCCATAGAAATATAAACAGCTCCTCAATTAGTTTGAAATTCCAATGAACACACACTTAAAGAAATACTTACAATCCAATACAAATCACATAAAAAAGAAAAAAATTCTGTCACTGTCGCATTTCGTACCAACACAGCCAACTTTTTGTTTCCATGAAATAAATTCTTCGTAGTGGTAAAAAACTATGGCACAGATTCGAGAAAAATTTCACTAATACTGAGAAAAAACTTGTTCCGTTTGTGTCATAGGGCACAGACCGAAAAACAGACTTGCAAACATCGAAAAATGTATTTATTTTTTATATTAAGTTTATCAAGCACTTTTCAAGAAGTTTTTACCTAGCATTGAATTTTCGTTTAAGCTTTTCTATCTAAATACGGTCAAACTAGTTATAATGCCATCGTTAGATGGCGTTTGTTCTGGTCAAAAGCTTAAAGGTCCTCCGTGGTGTGCGTTTTTCATATTATCGCTAAAATTTTATTTTATCTCATTAAATCAAGAATATTAAGTAATGAATTGATTTCGAAATGAAAGCCAATTCGGTCTTTGTTCTAATCGATAATTTATTTGAAATAAATGCAGACATTTCAAGTCATCTGCGACTCTTATTCAGGGCCTAAAAATAACAAATGTTTTGGGTTCAAGGAAACTATGATGATGCAAGCGTAATAATGGGCTGTAGTATTCTACATTGATGGTGACAGTGGGTAAATGGACAACTATAGAATATTACGATTCGAGTATGGGCATTGGGCATAGGAAAAAATCATCCGATTATTCAGCTAAATTAGTTCAGCTATTCGCCACCTGAAAAATAGACATCGATCAAAAAGATTAAACCAATTTCTTATTTAATAAAAATAAATATCCAACATTACCATTGTCAGCAGCGTTCAATTATTAACTTTCTTTCCTTTACCGATAAAAAGTCTAGCGACATCATTGTGACCTGAAAAATAATAATACAGATCGATGAAAAAGATCCAAACGGTATCTTATTTAGTCAACATTACGATTGTGAACAGCTAGTTGAAGAGGTGTTTGATTTGAATCATATTTACGGATGAGAAGCTCAGCGACATTCTTGTGACCAAAAAAAATGGCACAGATCGATAGAAAAATCAAACAAATTTCTTATTTAATGAAGACGAATATTCAACATTACCTTTCATAGCAGCTAATAGAAGTGAAGAGGTGTCCGACAACTCATTTCCGATATCAACATTGGCTTCTTCAGCGATGAGTCCTTGTGCTTCCTTCGCATTACCTGAAAAATAATTTTGATCAATGAAATTGATTGAACGAAACATTTTTTTAAAACATAAATGCTCAAAATTACCAGTCTCAACAGCTCTATGCAGGGCTGTATTCCCATTTTCGTCTTTTTCGTTTATTGAAAGCTAAAAAAATATAGTAGATCAGTGAAGAAAATGTCTTGTGTCCGTGAGATGATCTCTTCCACGCAAGAGCGCGTGGAAGTGTCGAAGTGATAGGGAAATGAATATTACGCTATTCAGAGGCTCTCTTCGATTTCATAGAAAAAATAGAATGAAATGGAGATACTTGATAAAGAACTGGAGCTTTTTTCTTACCGCCCCCATTCACATCCACGATTAGGAACTGTGGAAATAGAACAAAGTGATACAATTATATTGGGAACATCGGATGATATTATTATAATGGTTATCAACTGTTTTTCATGGTATGCCTCATTCGATAGATCTCAAAATTCTGAGTCGATTGATAATATTTTTTGTCGCGGATGGACTTGTGATGACACTTCCCGAAGCTGAAAACAAAAACAGTTTTATTCTGAATTTCCATAGTAACCTGTGACAACCAGATTTGATTTGAAATTTGAAAGCAAAAATTTGACAAGAAAACGCCGGAACGTTATCGCTGTATATGCTGGAGCATGAATGCCAGCTTGAGAGTGAGTGAGCGCGCGCATGTAAACAGAAAAATATTTTGTTATGAATAACAACCAATACATGCGTAGCGCACGTTTCGTTTCCCGCAGCCGCCAGTCGCTTGTTCATTATTCAATTCGCTTGAAACTCGATGTAAGTATATGTATTGGAATGAAGCGTATGAAACGAAGTGATGCCAACCAACAATCAATACGGCAGATTCTTTTCATATAGGCTGTACGTGTCCACGAATTTTTCTGACCCCCATAGATTTCGGTACGCATATGCTTAAGCTGTATCTTGTGTCGGGGCACATCGAAATCCATCCTCAGATTGACATCTGCATTACAGGAGAGCTGGCTATGGCTTCACTAGCCTGCATGTATACGTTTTTTTGAAGTATTTATTTCGCGGCAAAACGCTATGTGGATATTTACTCAAGTCAAGTGGTTCAAAGTCAATCGTGTTCAACTCCATTAGAGAAAAAATGCAAAAGCAACTACAAGCACAAATGTAATACTTGCGGAAAAATCTTCCAAAGTCTCGAGAAATTGGAACAACACAAAAAGTATACGCATAGCTTATATGTTCAGTTTGAATGAGACATATGTAAGACGCGTGTTAAAACTGAGGGCTCTCTACGAAGACATACAAAAATGAAACACACAAACTGCATCAAGTATAAGTGTGATTTTTGCTGGGCGAACCATGCTTGTATGAAAGTTTCAGAGCGTGTTTTGAGCTGACGTCAGCAGCACTAACTAACGTCAGCTGCTAAGCTCAGCTGCTGACGAGTATGCGTTGCGTTTTTTGAACGCATCTGCAATACAAAATTCATATTCCTTCCTGGATCCCAAGGCAAATATCATATTCCCTTCTTTCAAATTTGACTTGGGATCCAGGAAGGAATATGAATTTTGTATTGCAGATGCGTTCAAAAAACGCAACGCATACTCGTCAGCAGCTGAGCTCAGCAGCTGACGTTAGTTAGTGCTGCTGACGTCAGCTCAAAACACGCTCTGGAAAGTTTTGATTGATATTTTCGATTTCCCGCATCTAACATGGTTTAGCTTAGTTAAAGATTTGCGTATAGGTTTATATGAACGAATGCAGTATCTTAATAATGTATTACATTATGATGGGTATGTATTTGATGCTTCCGAGATGAGAAAAATAAATTCGATTAGCACAGTCGTCAGTCGCTTATGATTTTTACTTTGAAACTTTATAATTTCAGTCGATAATATATGTACGGTATTTTGATTCCGATTTTATGGGATTTTGCTTTTATGTGGCATCTTTGAATGCAAATCTTGCCAAAAGCCGACAATCATCATCTCGTCAGATTCTTTATACATTTTTTTAGTATGTATATTAACAAGAAAATCCATACACGTAATGGTCAGATTTACTTTTTCGATATATTATCAATATTTTTATTGTCCATTATATTGATTCTCATATTATGTTGGATTTTTTTTTATCTTAATAACGTTATTATAAAGTGATTGCCTCTCATTTTGGTCGTATCAATTCCATTTGTTGCAAAGCTTTTATGAATAGAATATCTTCAGGTTTCAATCGATAATCCCACATCATCATTTCATTTTATTGTTTAACCCTCAACTGCATGAATTTTTCCTAGGACTGGGAGTACTGGTATTTGGTTGATTTTTGGCCATAGATAACGAAAAAAATATTCATAATCCTAGATTTCCCATGGTTTAGTCAAGAAATGCGATAGAAATAAGTCAGAGAACAATGAAATTCATTGTTTAAAAGTGTCAAAAATATGTCTAATTTGGAAACCGAATAATTTATTTTGTCAAATTTTCGTTTTCGTGCACATTTTTGTTTATAACTCACCAATCGTACGACATAGACAAATGACGCCAAAGACAAAAATAAAGAAAAAACATTGACAAATAAAAATTCCCCTTGAAGCAATGTCATCCGCCGTACGATTCACATTATACAGGTGTTTAAATGATGCCCGCCAAAAGGCGGGCTTATGCAGTTGAGGGTTAAAGCATATTAAATGTATTTTTTAGAATAAATTATCATTTAGGTTACATCTTGCATACAAATGATAATTTGGCCCATAGTATTTGCTATACATATCCCTATATTAGTTTTGATTACAAAAGACATTCAGACATTAATGGGTGAGACAGAGAGTTTGGAAAAACTGGTCGCTCAAGCTGAATTCATTCCCGGGTGAACGCGATACGCTTTGATGAAAGCCTACAGCTTGTGTAACGCAGGAAACATTCAATCATAATGATAATAATGCTAGAGATGTAATCGCTTCAGTCAACGGCTTCAGCAACTAACTAAACTACAAATGACTAGTTTGTAGTCATCTTTGGTCCCCGGTGGATAAAATAAAAAAAAGTCTCTGAAATGAATTTGGAATCGTTTGGAATCGAACGACAAGGAAATTTTCTAAACTTATCATTACTGATATGTCACTTGTTTGCGGGTGGCAATTTCAGATCAGTCAACATTCTATACCATCCCAATGCAATCGACAATCGTCTTTTATTTCAATCGATTCGGCTTATTCTTCCCCAATTCCAAAGACTACACAAGATATCTCCACCAACGAAACAATTCCGATTGATCGTCGAAGCAAACGAACTGACAAGATTCTTCAATTGATATTCCTACCACCAGATCAACTGATCGAACAGTTCAATCGAATTGAGAAAATGCTCGCATTTTATCGCATTTTTATATTTACAACACCTGTTCAACTAGATTTGGAGCAAATCAAATCTATTGAAAGCGCCGACCCAACTTCAAGTTCATTGCTTTTGACAAGAACATGTTTCACGAGATTCCAAACAGATTTCGTTTCATCAAATACCAAATAATTGCAGAATTCCTTTTGAATCTATGGTCAGACTTTATCGCGATTCATTTTCAAAGTCTTTAGAACCAGAGCTATGGAATAAATCAATTCAACCAATTAAAGCATTCACTAACGCTATGCAACTTGAGATCAGAGTGATTTTTGTGTATGGTGTGGATTTCTCTCGGCCACGTAACAGTTTCATTGCATCCCGTTTTTGGGAAAGTTCAAACTTTTGGATTTTAGTCATCGCTTTTTTTGTGGGTGCATTCGTGGGGTTTTCGTTTTGATGAATTTTATTATCCTCTAGTCATTTATATGTGTGTCTAAAAAGGATATTCGCACTATTGCTCACTATGGCGCTACAAAGAACTTGGAATCATACTACCAAGAGGTGGGCCGCGCGGAAAGAGATTATCTGCCCAGTAAGGTGATCACGTACTTTGCGATTGAAGAATTCAATCTGCACGATTGGTTCTTGGAAAAGGAATACGAAACTATGAAATTGTCCAACTTCGTGAAGAAGCTTCGACGCGATTTGGCTTCGCACATGCGAGAATTTGTGCATTCGCCGAAGTGCAGACGGTAATTACTTTTGCGTATAAATTCGGATGGGAATTAAGAGCCCTTAACTCCGGGATAATACTCTTTTATTCCAAAATTGCAGGAAAACGATTCTGAAATACCTTGGCGAAGATACTGGCGCGTTGTCGGTTCGAAGTGATTGTTGCGATAATTGTGCGAACGGCCTCAGTACGTGGCAATTGAAGGACTTATACGTTGGTTTTGATGATGAAGGGTTTTACGACTTTACACATGATGCCCGAATTCTACTTGGCGCAATGAATGCAATGGAACAACACAAAATCAATTCGCAACGAGATCATATCGTGAAATGGTTGAAAGGCGACCGAATCAATCGATTAGGAATATTAACACTGTACCATGGCATGGGTAGAGGAAAGAAACCGTATTATTGGAATGCACTGATTGATCAACTGACCAAAACAGATTACATTGATTTCGTTCCCGGAAAAACCCATTTAACTCTGAGCAATGAAGCACGCACATGGCTGAGAGACTCAAGACCATTGAAGCAAATTCCATTCGGTGCGATGCATCGATTCTTCATACGAAAGTCAAACACACCACTAACAAACATGGGCTGGACTCAAACATACGCAGAAAATTTACCATTTGGTCAAAGAAGTCGACGACGATACTACTCAAACATTCTTGAGTTAATGTTTGGTAAAAACGTGTATTATTACGACTATGAATGAATTCACAAATGTTATTTATCTCAAATTTATTTACCAAATCATTAAAATAGACAAAATAAGACAATATTTATATATATTTAATGGTTTTTTTAGTTCTAAGAATAAAATATAAACCATGATTTGGTTACCAAATGTATTTTTTAAATTAACAATTACTCCCGACGAATCGCATTCAGTTCATTTTGATAATAGTTATACATTCAGGTCGGTGTTAGCTGGTATTCTTTGTAAAACCACTTTTTGAAACAAAAAATCGTTTTTTCCCACAGCAAATGAAATATTTCTGCAGAATCATTTCTCTTATTATTTATATGCATATGGGAATCAACGAAAACTTATCGTTTTGAACCATGACAGTTGATTTAATAGTTGCGTAGTTCGTGTGACTGGTGGTGAGAACCGGAACTGATTGACACATTCCATTGGCATAATCAACAATAATAAATCAGTTGTTTAAGTTTACTTGTTTCAAACACAGTATTCATTTGAGTTTCATTCAATTTGTTGTAATTTTCTCCGCAAAAATGGATGACGAAGGAAATGAAGAAGATTTTTCCAGAACTCAATTAGTTGTATTCGATCGTGCTGTTGAAAATAGTATCCGTGAAAGAAGCCACGAAGAAAACGAAAATCAAGTCGAAAGTGTAAATAATGTTCAGTTGAACGATTGGTCTGATGATGGATTCGATGATTTGGATGATGAAGATTACGCTGCTTTGGATCGAACAATTGAGAATTGTTCAGAAAATCAACAACAAATTAATGAAATGAACAACAACAACAACGGTGCCGACGGCGGCAGCAGCGACAACAGCCACAACAATAGCAATCAGGAAGCTCAACTCACCGCATCGCAATTCGACTTGGCATCGGCTATATTGGATGACGATGCAAATGAACCAATGCTTGAGCATTTGGAATGTCTGCAATCGAAATTTCACCACAGTCAATTTCGCGATAAGCAATGGGAAATTATCGATATGGTGATGAACAAAAAACGTGATGTCAGCGCTGTGATGGCAACCGGTTACGGAAAGTCACTCTGTTTCCAGTTTCCGGCTGTGTTCAAAAATGGCATGGTTCTCGTAATTTCACCACTTATCGCACTGATGGAAGCTCAAGTAATGGCATTGGAAAAATTGAACGTCAAGGCTTGCTTGGTTGGCAGTGCTCAACCCGATAAACAAATTTGCGCTCGAATAGAGCGAGGCGAATTCAATATCATCTACAGCAGTCCGGAATTTCTTCATGATCGCTATGGGCAAGGGAAGAGAATGTTGAATTCACTGGTTGGCCGATTGATGCTGATCGCAATTGATGGTGAGTCAATCTCGTTGATTTTGCATTTCTGACGTTGTCATTGGTTTGTTTATCAAAAAAAAATGAATTAATGTTTGTTTATCTTTTGTTTATTTTGCAAACGCCTGTGTATGGATGGAACAAAAACAGAAAGGTGATTATCTTTTTCCATTTTCGATATTTACATTTAAATTGGAATATTTATATGCTTTTTAACGAATACAATAATCAATTCATAAATTTTTTCTTCATTTCAATACAGTCACTGTGTAAGTGGTTGGGGTCATGAATTTCGACCATATTATCGCCAATTGAACATTGTCCGTGACACATTACCAAACACACCAATTTTAGCACTGACTGCAACAGCAACTGCACGGGTGCGCAACGACATTAAAACATCGCTTGGTCTGCAAGATCCATATGAGATTGTAACGAGTTTTGATCGACCGAATCTGGAATTTATTGTTCATGAAAAATCCGGCAATGTATGGAGTGATCTTCGTCCATGGGTCACCAACTTGACCGGAAGCGTGATTGTTTACGTTTTGAAACGAGAAGAGGCCAAAGAGACTGCAGACATACTTAAAATGCATGGTGTGGAATGCGCTTGGTATCATGCTGGCATAAATGATCGTGATCGTAAAAAGGAAATAGTTAAAAACTTTGTAGACGGCGAGGTGAAGGTGATTGTGGCAACCACTGCATTTGGTATGGGTACAGATTTATTACTTGAGAAAAAAATCCTCTGTAATGCCACGTAACATGTTACATTTGGCAATACATTGCGTGTGTAATGTTAGAAAATCACATTAATAATGTTAGATTTATGGCATTACCGTTAATGTTAGGTAACATGTTAATATTGTAACGGACGGGTCAAGTAATAGCTATTACAATTGTAATGCCAAAATTTAGCATTACCGATAATGTGTTACAATTGTAATACCAGTCATTTGGCATTACCGGTAATAGCTATTACAAGTGTAATAACATTACAGGAAATTTTTGTTAACGTAATGCTATTACAATTTTAATGCCGGTAAATCTGTAGGTATGGGCATTGATAGAAGAGACATCCGTGCGGTTGTTCATTATGGTGGTTCGAAGAACTTGGAATCATATTACCAAGAGGTTGGTCTATAGAAATAAAAAATTTTAATGCCTATTACGCTATTACTATTACTATTAATTTTTTAAACAAATTTTTTTTTTCAGTTTCATATAAAAAACTTTTTTTTTACGCCAGACGATTATTTATGAGAAAAAATGAATCTGGCAAAAAAATCCAAATTTTTTACATGAAACTTTTTCTTGAAAAAAATTCGGAAAGTTTCATGTAAAACCTTTTACTTTACTTCTATAGGTTGGTCGAGCGGGTCGAGATGATTTGCACAGTAAGGTTGTGACATATTTTTCGCCTGATGACTTTGACACACACGATTATTTCTTGGACAAGGATGAAAAAGACAAGCAACTCTCAATATTTGTGAAGAAATACTTACGTGACATGTCCATGTATATTCGTAAATTTTTGCATTCACCAAAATGTCGACGGTAAATAAAATTTACGTAGTAAAATTAAATTTGCAACTTTTTATTGCAATCGACATTATAATTCATCTGATTGTTATTGCATTCACAGCAAAATGATCCTTGAATATTTTGGTGAAAGCACCAATTTGTTGACGGTTCGAAGCGATTGCTGTGATAATTGTGCAAAAGGCCTTAGCACATGGCGATTGAAGGATTTATACCACTACATTAGCAATTCAGGCCATTACAACTTTGAAACAGATGCACGGATCTTGTTGCGTACAATTGAGGAACTAGAGAAGAAGAATATTCCACCAGAAAGAGAACGCATTGTGCAGAAATTGCAAGAAGGGGCTAATAGACGAGAACCGTACTATTGGAATGCACTCATTGATCAGCTCACGTACAACGATTATATCAAACTTGTTGCTGGAAAAACGCAATTGACGCTGGCCGTGAAGGCTCGAATGTGGTTAACCAAGCGCGATAGACTGTGGCAGGAGCCAGTTGGAGCCACATATAGATTTTTACGACCAAGGTCTGGCACACCTCTTTGGGGCACTCGCTGGAGCCGAAACTACAGAAATGGAACATCAAACAGTTACACCATATATGAAGGACATTCTTGTGTGGAATTGTTTTTCGGTCAATGCCAACATTGCGGTTGATTCCCAAGAGATGCGATTTTGTACACAAACAAGAAATTCCCAAGTTTGAAATTTCAAATGATCAAGAAAACAATCTCAATCACAAAAACCCAACTTAAATCGTGAAACAAAAATCAAATGATCTAAATTTTTCGTTATAGTCTCGTAAACCTGTATTCGTACAATTATGATATAAGTATCATTTCTATTTTCGTCATTTTTTTAATTCTAAGAGAGAAATGTAAAGTTTACATTGTAAACAAAACGTTGATTGAATAAAAAGTTATCGTTGAAATAAAGAGATATTTGTAATCGAAAACTAAAGAAATCAATTGCTTCAGATTGAATTTTTTTTTAATAGGGATAGAATTTCCAGTTTCCAGTTTTCCTATGGAAATGACAGCTGTCAAAACAAAAACGCGCGATTTCATCACATAAAAGGTTTGTAAACACAGTAATCCTTCGTTGTTGTTCAAGTTTTCTGTATATATTGTTGAAGAAATTATGAAATTAAACTAAAGTTTTGTGGAAAAACCAACCAAAAATGGATGACGATTTTGATTTTGATGATGCAATTTTGGTGGAAGTGGCGAGCCAAGTCGATCGTCAGCTGGACGCGAAGAAGCCAAGTGCAGAGCATTTGCAATGTTTGCAATCAAATTTTGGTCACGGCCAATTCAGACCAAGCCAATGGGAAATCATTCGTTCGATAATCGAAGAAAAGCGTGATAATTGCGTCATCATGCCAACTGGGTATGGAAAATCGTTATGTTTTCAATTTCCGGCCGTTTACACAAATGGAATCACATTGGTTGTGTCACCGTTGATTTCATTGATGCAAGATCAAGTGAGCGCATTGAGTGTCGCTAATATTCCGGCTTGCTATCTTGGTTCAGCACAAACCGATCGAAACATTGAAAGTCAAGTGACTGCCGGAGATTTTCGTATGGTTTACGTCAGTCCAGAGTATATCAACGGTGAACGTGGACAGAAACTGTTGCGGAAGTTGGAGCCGATGCTAACACTGGTTGCAATTGATGGTGAGTAGCTGAAACAAATCATACTTGGAATCATCGAATTTGGAATTTATTCCATATTAAATTTCTTTTTTTCCATTCAACCCATAGAATGTCATTGTATCTCCGCATACGGCCATTGTTTTCGTCCCGAATATCGAAAGTTGGGCTGCATCCGAAAGCAAATACCATCGGTGCCAATTTTAGCCGTAACCGCAACTGCCACTCAACATGTTCGTGATGATATCATTTATTCACTTCATTTGAAGAGTCCCCAAATCATGTCAATGGGTTTTGATCGGCCAAACATTCACTTTTCATTTCGAAATAAAACCAAAAATATTTGGGATGACCTAAAGCCATTTGTTACAAACGTTCGTGGCAGTGTTATTGTCTATGTGTTGACGAAAAATGGTTCAGAAGAAATTGCACGGATCTTACAGCAGAATGGTGTGAATTGCGAGATTTATCATGCTGGCATATCGATGAAGAAACGAAGAACCGTACTCGACGACTTCATCAAAGATCGTTTAAACGTTATTGTGGCTACGGTTGCTTTTGGCATGGGCATCGATAAGCCCGATGTACGTTGTGTCGTTCATTATGGAGCATCCAAGAACTTGGAATCATATTACCAAGAAGTTGGCAGAGCTGGTAGATAATATTATTTCACATAATATTATTTTTCCTCACATAATATTCGATTTTGATGTTTTTAGGCAGAGATGGTCAATTGTCACGTGCAATTACATTCCATGACAAAGCTGACTTTGGATTACACGAATGGTTCTTGAGCGAGAATCGCGAACATCAATCGGAAGCGGTGATTAAACATTTGCGCGAAATTGGCCAGAAGATGCGAAACTTTTGTCATACATCGATGTGTCGAAGGTAGGATGAGGAAGAAATAAATTTATTAGGTCGAATAGAAACAAAAATTATTCCAATTGAGTTAAAATTCAATCAATTCATTCAAATTTACTTTCGTTGCTTAGAAAATACCTCTTGGAATACTTCGGTTCCGATGCATCACGCATACGTCCACGTAAAAATTGCTGTGATAATTGTGACAATGGTTCCAGTCGCATCACTTTGAGTGATCAATACGAGGGTATTGACGACGAAGGCAACTATGATTTCACAGAAAATGCGTACCTCTTGTTGAAAGCGATGAAAGTCACGAACAAGGTCTCTGTAGCGATAACCGTGCTGAAAGGATCTTCCGAAAAAAAGGCGTTGGAATTTAAAAATTTCAAGGAAATTTATGGCGCTGGCAAAATTTGGCCGAAAGAATATTGGAGCCATTTGGTTGATCAATTGAAAGAAAATCAGTACATAACAATAAAAAAGCTACCACTGCCTTATCGACCTATTCCAATCATCTCTCCAAAAGGACTTGATTGGTTGAAAACGAGAGAACGTTTGATTTTAAAAGCCAAACCAGAAATGTACCCATACTTCAGGAAGAAGCGGAAGGTTGTTCAAAACAACAACCTGGAACCAAGTACAAGTACAACAAAACCACCGGCCGCTGTTCCAATGGAAGTCGAAAACCAGTTTGCAGTTGAACAGGAAGACGATGATGACTATCAACTGCAAGCGGAAATGAGCGATAAGCATTTGGAGGAGATTTTGCTGGGCATTCGTGCGATTTTAGCCGAAAACAGCGATTGTATGCCGTTTTTGGTGGCCACAAACCTAGCCATTCAACAGATGGTCCAGAAGAAGCCAGTCAGCGTCAAGGAGTTGAAATCGTATCTTATCGATGGTTTCTCTATAGCAAAAATAGAGAAATTTGCATCGTACTTCATTAATGGTATCATTAAATTCATGGTGAGTTGGCACTTTTTTTTTCTTTTTTGACAATCGAAGAAGATTTTTTCTATTTTGAATATTTCTACCACACTTTTTACGGAATATTTAACTTTACGAACCGTTTTTCTATGGAATTTATCTTACATTCAGTGAAAAAAACGGGTTGAGCTAATATTTTCTTCTTACTAATCTCGTCGTCATCTTTTCAGAACAACGAATTCTGTCTGAGCACACTTCTGAAAACATACCCATTGAAGAAGAAGCAATCTCAATTGTCGCCACAAGAAACACGTCGAATCATCAAACTGATCAGGGATAATCAATCGGTCACAAATATATGCCAACAACTGAATCGCTCTGAATCGGAAATCATCGACGAAATTGTGATTTTGATTCGAACTGGCTTTCTCATCACAACAACGCATCTGGCCCATTTGGTCGGAGCGAACGATGAAATCTTAAAGTACCTCAAATCGAATGTGACTGATGAAGATATTACGAATTTGAATAATATCAGCGTGGTGAAAGCGAAATTTGCCGAAAAGAGTCGCATCACCGAACAGATGTTGATTTTAGTGTTGAACTACTTGAAAGTTCGTCAATTTCTGCGTTCAATCAACGTTCCGTATTTCGATATTGATGAGAATCGACTTGTCAATGGTGGTGCACTTTTGGAAGCGAAAACGATTGAGAAAGTCAATTCAAACCCCGATCAAAGCCAACCGAAACGAGAAGAAGATAAGAGCAATCAGAAACCGATTTCATCGAGTCAAAATAATAAATCGTTTGCCGATTTGCTAGGAGAGGATGAAGACGATTTTGCAGCTGCCATAGCAAGTTTTGATAGTAAGACTGAATTGACATCGAAACCATTACAATCATCACAAAAGACAAATCAAAATACCGAACCCAAGACAGTCGAAGTTAAGTCCAAGACTGTTGAAGTTAAGCAAACAGTAAAATTGCCCGTGGCTCAAAGCAAAACAACGACAGCATCAGCAGCCAGGAAGCGTCCAGCTGTACGGTCAAAGTACCAAATTCAATACTACAGCGACTCCGATTCAGATTCCGGCGACAATAAAGATGAGCCGCAAAATAAACGGCCACTACCACAATGGCTTACCACAAAGAAAAGCACAGCCACAACCGCAAGCGGCCAGTCGAATCCAATTCGAAAAAACTCGTTCTTTTAGGGAATCGTCCAAATTAAGAAATAATTTAATTTTTAAGCTGATTAAATCTGTTTTTTTTTCTTATGTGAAATTTGCGAGAAAAAAAACTGAAACTAAATTATTTTTTTTCATGGCAGAGAATAAAAAGTTTGATAATTGAAAAGAACAAAGCCATTGAATATTTAAAACCGAACACTTTTTTCAACTTCTGAATAGCTTATGTGAAAAAATGGTAAAATTAAAAGAATTACACCTCTATTTGATTGCATTTTTATTTACTTTTGCACGTAATTTGTGTTCGACATTAAAAGTTTCGCCAAAAACTGTAAGCCAATGCGAACGGTAGTAAACAGTAGTAGCCCGGTAGTTTGCAATTAATTTGCTGGCCAATTTGGGGACCGGTGCAAAAGTTTTGTGAGTTTTCAATTTGATTGATATACTGACTTTAGAATGTAAGAACGGTTCGGAACTGGGATGCAATTCGATCCGAATAAAACAATCGAAGTCGTTTTGTGAATCGCCTTTTGATGAGGTTCGATGTTGGAACATGTCAGCAGTTTCCGTTGATGAATGTGTTGATTGAGAGTCTATGCATGTGTGTCGTCGGCTGGTGTATGTATTTAAATGAATGTCGTTAAACATATGTTCCATTGATGACTAGATAAATACGTGTAATAAAACCCCATTAAGACTTCATTAGACAAGTAAAACTTTGATCGAACATCGGAAACGAATGGTCCAGCATCATTCATTGGAGTCTATAATAAAAATGGGCATGAATAAGTTTCGCACATAGGAAAACACAACGAAGAGACCGACACGAAGTTTTCACGAAGAAAAAGCGAAACGTAATCGAGAGTATTGAAAGACGGCTTTAACAAAGAACCACGACGCAAAGCCGAAGCACAAGAAAAGTTTTGAGAAGTTTCCGTATTATCACATTATAGTCAAGTGTGATATACTACGGTGTAGATGTATAAATGTGTAGAGAAAACAGTAGCAAAGACGAGAGCTTCATCTATTCGTGCACCGATAACAGATCCGTGATTTTGATGACAGCAAAGAAAAGATTTCTTTTCTTTACCACTTTTGTGCAACAATAGTTTTCGCTTTGTTTTCGTCGCCTCACTTTTGCTGCACTTCGTTTAATTTGCTCTCAAGAACTATTCTCTGTCTATTTCTCTCCCTTTCTCTCTCGCTCTTTTCGTCTCTCCCCCTTTCGAGAAAACCTCTCTCATTCGTTCGCTCGGAACAAACAAACAGAAAAAGCTGATGCCAAAACGCTGTTGCTACTAATCTGTTCGAACGATGAGAACAGATCGTTCCATTTTCTAATTGAATTTCACTTACGTATTTTTGTTTAATTATGGATTCAAAACTTTCGTCTTCATTTTACATGAGAAAAGACTGAGAGCCATTTTGCGACATGCTATTCTTCATTCATACATCTAGGGTGAGAAGGAGTGAAAGAGAGTGAGAGAGAGTAGAAGAGAGATAAAAACCCGACGAACATCGACGATGCACAAAAGTTCTCTCTTTGAAACAAACTAGCTGCACGACGCCATCGCATGAAATGCAAACTAGTATTTTCGCTTTTTTTTATTGACTCATCGAAAAGTTTGTAGTCAAAGTTTGCTCGTAATTATACCGAAATCCGAAATCCGAAACCACAAAATCAATTCATGCGTAGACCAAGTGCCGTAACTACAGGCGGAATTTTTTCAACTGGACATCATCAATCGCATGCTATTCATTTGGATGGCTGCTGACTCCGTTCAGTGGAGATAAACTGTGTGATATGTTGAAAATAGAATTTTCACATTATTTTCACATAAAAGCGTTGAATCCCAGTGAAAATATTGATTTGCCAACCAATAACAAAATAGGAAAACTCGGTGTATAATTTTATGAGTTTGTTTATTTATCGAAATTCAATAGAATGCAAAAAAAAAATGTGCGAACAATCAACCACATCCAATTTAATCCTCACAAACAACAATAACATCACAAAATCATGGTGAAACACTGGGGCTTTTGTGTTTGTTGGCCGCATTATTTTTGTAATTCAAAATTTATAATTTATGCATCGTTGTGATAGCAACTGATTAAATTAATCGAGTTTGTTTGTTTGGATTTTGACCATTTGCTCATTCGATTTCCGATTTATGGCCAAACAATTGACATTTTGTTCAATTTAAAATGCTCTTTTATCGTTGCAAAAATTATTGCTTATTTTTTATCGGAAAATATTCCGTCTATTTTTCGACCTGAACTACATTTCCGCCATCCGTGTATCGAACCGAAAATAGATGTTTCAATTTTGTTTATCGAACTTTGGCCAATGTATTTGTAGCACCTAATTCCAAAAATGGAAGAAGTTTTCAATACGTTACGTACGATTCCAATCATCATATATCGTTATCTATGCTAATGAATGCAATATGCAAGTGTGAAATCATTCTCGTGCTCAATTATATCGAGATGCACTCGGTGTGTACTTCCACTTGATGGCGTCTGTATAAATTTATTAGGTTGTTGTTTTAATGGAATTTGGGAAGAAAATTCTTGCCTCTCGAAAGCTATCTAATAGACATCACCATGTGGGTCACGTTAGAAATCCATTCATCGTTATTCGATGCATAAATTTTGGGATGGAAATTGCAACAGAAGCTAAAAATATCTACTGAAAGAGTTGCATACTGAAATCGAAATGCAACGAGAGAAAAAAGAATATCGAATTTCGGTCACGCAGTCATTATGGGAATTCGTTTGAGCACGTGATTGCCAATAAGCGTTTAAAATGAATTTTTGGCCACTGTTTCGTGTTTTCACTAGAACAAAGGCACCAAATTACACGAGTTTAAAAGCCACCGCAGGATCCTCGATTTAATTAACCATTTTCAGTTTTCTCCCCTATGGAATTGACCTGATGTGTACCGAATGGTAGTGTCATTATCAAGAAAGTGTCATCCAATGAATGTGTAATTAAATGGAAAAACACAATGACAATATTAATAATTAAAAAAGTTGAAAATAGCCATGAAAATCGAATGGATTGTAATTGATGCAGAACGGTGTATGTGCGCGATGAATTGAATGTGCCAACTTGCCAACGGCAATTCTCTCTCTTTCTCGTTGCTGAACTCCATTTATAAGCGGAACAAAAACTTTTCTTCGCCATATAAAATAATTACAGTGACATGTTTTCTGTGCAAGACATATGCTCAACACGAAACGGTCGAGCAGAAAAAAACTAAAAGCGAGTTGCTTTGATTTTGCCGTCATCAAATCAAAAGTTAGTCGTTTTTAAGCTTGTGAGATTCATTTAGACATTTTTTGCTCCTTCGCTTAAACACACAGAAACTAAATATGACAATATCAGTTCTTTTTTTTCTGTTCGTCGTTATAATAATAATCGAGCGAGTCAACAATGGTAGCTTATGGTCGAACCAACAATATCAACGTCAAACACACAATATTTTTCGACTTTAGTCTGTAATACAGACACGTTACGCAATAAATTGATGGAATATGAGACATCAGCGGTGGAGCCATTGCTGCAGAAGCGATCACATACACACAAAAAGAGAAAGAAAGAGAGAGAGAGAGAATCATTATATAGATGAGAGTTGAATGAAAAGAGAACCAGGCAAACTTGATGCATTATTGTTTATTTTATCTGGATGATATTTTTTTGTCTTCTTCTTGGCCATGCTCCAGTGACAGAAATATGTCGTGTGCATATGTTGAGTGGAAGAGAGAGGGGATTGCCATAGGAAAATGTGCTTTTAGATCGATATGATGAGAAATCTCTTTCCAATGAAATATGATGAGGAAGAGAATGAAAGAGAAAAATGAAAAATAAAAACGTTGAGTTTTCTGTGCAAACAAATTTGATTGAGTTTAAAGTCCATGAATCTCTCTCTCTCTCTCTCATGTTGATGCATTGAATCGGTTTTTCCGTGTAACAATTGGTTACGAAAGAAAATGGAGCGAGAACTTTAACAAGAAAATGGTCATGTTGTTGAAAACCAATGGAAAATGTCTTACCATTCATATCAGATCCTCTTTTCCGATTTGAACGAGAAAAGCGCTCGACGGAAGGCAAAAATATGCTGTATAAATCGGAGCCGAAGATAAAATTCGATGAATTTTGTTGTCGGAGAGCGCAGACAGTAAATGAAAAAGCATGAGATAAAGTTAAAAATGAAGAAACAATTATGTTGAAACATCGTTGTCGTTTATTGCGATCGGCCAAATCGATGGAATGTCTCGAATAGTGATGAGATAAAGAAAGAGAACGAAAGAAAGGAACACACCATGGCATCGTACCAACATTCGCCGAGGTGAGGTAAAATCATTATTATTCCATGTGATGTAATCGATTGGTCAGCGATTTCAATGAAACGAACGACACATGAAAACTATTGGCCAATCGCGCCACGAATTCTACGAATAATATATTTTTGCGGTTTTATTGCGTTGACCGAGAAGAAATTGCTCACGTTTCAAATTAGCCGCACTAAAGCCAAAATGAATTTCGCAGTCGCAAACAACAAAAACAGAAATAAAACCGGGACGCGGAAAAGACACATCTATATAAACTCCGGTATCCTCTGCACCATCTTGCAAAGCGTCTGTGGTCATGATTGCAGTTTATAACATACGGCGTGTGTATGTTTTCGTCTGTGCATGATACTGAAGCACAACTAATTACATATTTTCTCCGGCGTTTATTTATTTCATGAGTTTATCTGCAATATTTTCGCTTCGGGCGCGTATGTATTGCAACCAGTTACTGTGTTGCGACTCACTTCATTAAAACGCCATTTAAAATGTACGAGCTATTTTATCGTGGAAATTCATTCGCCAGAACAATTCTCGTGGCCACTGCCATTGCTGCTCTACTTTTTCACTGATAAATTCAAAATTTTATGCCGTTTATGGACATGTCTCTATGGTGATTGGTGACTCAATCATTGTAAAAGCCAAGTTTCAATCAGTACTTACATAAAGAGTCGCACAACCATTTCTCATCTCTTTCATATATGCAGTTGGTAAAAGTTTACAACGATTCCGCACAAAAACTCCATGTGAATATGAGTAAGCAACGACAAATGGCAATTGCATTCGTCTTTCAAGGGAAAAACTGATACCGTCTCAATGGTACAACATATTGTGTGTTGAGCACATGAAGCTGAAAAAAGACGAAAGAAATCGCTTTCGTTTGGCAAATATTTGTAAATAACTTTGCTCAC